TGCCGGCAGCGGCCGGGGGAGCTCCGGCGGCTCTGTCTGTCTGCCCCTCAACGGCCGGCTGGCCAGGAGGGGAGGAGATGAACGAGCCTCTTGAGCCGTGTCTATCAAAACACGGGGCTATCCAAGCGTTAAGCCTTTTCCCTTGTCTTTTAATTGATACTTTGGTCGAGCCTCGCTGAGCTTCCCCGGCTGCGTGGGGCCGTTCCTGGTGCCACCCCGAGCAGGCTGGTTCCCCTCCACAACAGCTGGGACTGCCAGGGTTGGGGTGTCCCCAAGGATCCTCAGCCACCCTTTGTGTTTTTCCTGTCCCTGCTGAGCTCCATCTCCCACAGGCAGTGTCACAGGAGCTGCGTTCCCAGTACAAGGTGTGTGTGCCCCAGTGTAAGCCACTGTCACCGGGAGAGATCCTGGGCTGCACGTCACCCCGGCTCGCTCAGGACACGGATGCCATTGTGTGAGTACCTGGGGTCCTTCAGCACCCTCCTGCCTGGCCCTGACTTGCCATCCTTCCTGCACCCCCTGCCTGGTTTTGTGCAATTTTAGAGAGTGTTTAGGGCTATCCACAGGTTGGGATGGGCCCCCTTCAGCTCCTCATGCTGCATTAAGTGTGCTTGTAGCACCTTCCTGCCTGGCCCTGACTTGCCATCCTTCCTGCACCCCTGCTTGATTTTGTGCAGTTTTAGAGGTGTTTAGGGCTATCCACAGGCTGGGATGGGCCCCCTTCAGCTCTTCACGCTGCTTTAAGTGATGTGTGCTTGTAGCACCTTCCTGCCTGGCCCTGACTTGCCATCCTCCCTGCACCCCCTGCCTGGTTTTGTGCAGTTTTAGGGCTATCCACAGGCTGGGATGGGCCCCCTTCAGCTCCTCACGCTGCTTTAAGTGGCGTGAGCTTGTAGCACGGAGGAAATAATTGAGTCGTATATCAGAATAGATAATAGATGGAAGGGCGGGTGGATAATTGGAAAAGACAAATGGCCGGGGCCCAACATCACAGCAACATTAATTTTATTTAAGGACAGCAAATTAGAGGGAGCACTTCGCTTCCTATCACCTAATTATTTTAGGTAATGGAAATGCTTAATGTACTGTGAATACAGTGTGCTGCAGAATAAATAAATACAAGGACCCCACCCTTGGGGGGAGCTGGGGAGCCCAGGTGTGGGTTTGGGCTTTGCTGAGCTCCTTCTTGCCCACATTGCTGGGAGCCAGCATCACCAGTGCCTTTCCAAGCACGGCCATGCAGGGAGCTGGACTCCGCATTGCTGGACACAGGGGCAGTGAGAGCTGTGGATTCATCCTGAGCCACTCTCTGTCTCTCCAAGGACGGCAGGGGCAGCCAGGCTGGCACTGCATGGGTGAGAGTGGGTCCCTGCAGCTGGCACAGGAGCGGCAGTGCGGTACCAACGCGCGCAGGTGCACTCGGCCTTACCTGCGTCCTCCCTGCATTATTATTTTCTTCTTTGCACCGTCTCTGGGGCTAACTTTTGCAGACAAATTAGCTTTGATCTCCCAAAATGTCATTCTCCAATTAAGGGCAAAATCTAGTCAAGTTTTACGTCTGAATTCATTTTCCAGGCCCTCACTCCATTAGGGCAGCTGAATGAAAGGCTTTGAAATGTAATTGCTGACTGGAAATCCGATTAGAAATGGAAGCAGCAACGTCTAGAACCAGCCATTGAGATGGAGCAGCTCCCAGCTGCCCCGTGCTGGTGTGAGCACCCCTCCTTGCTCTGAGCATGGCTGCCTCTCCAGCCCTGCCATGCCAGGGAGCCCTGGCTGTGCCTGCTGCCCAGCAGAGGAGTTTGAATTCCTGGCATCTCCACTGTGCTGCAGTTTGGGAAACCAGTGAACACATGGATAGGGTGCTGCTGTTTCCCAGTGCCATAGCTCTCCCTCCCCTCTTGGCAGGTATTTGGGCGACGGGCGCTTCCACCTGGAGTCCATCATGATCGCCAACCCAGGGATACCTGCATACAGGTACAGACTCCAATCCCATGGTGGGGTCCCCCCCATCTGTCCCCATGTGCCCCCCAGCAGCAGGCATGGGCAGGTGAGAGGCCACGGAGTGGGTGGGGAGGTGCTTGGGGGAGATGAACACCAGCCATTTACTCCGGCTGAATATAAACATTTTGACAAGTACCTGTGAAAGCTCGTGGAGGTGCAGCCATTAAAGCCCGGCTGCTGCAGGCAGAGGCCATAAAGCGCGATGATGAGGCCGCTGAAAGCAGATGAAATATCAGGAGTGAAAGGCTGGGCCCATTTGGAGGAATCTGAATTTCCTAGTAGGTCGTTTGTTACAAACGGGAGGCGCACGTCAGGTTTATGGCGCTGGTGAAGCTGCCGAAACCCGAGTGGGATTTGATTAAAATTCTCCTCGTCAAACAAAGCAACAAATCAAAGAATTCTTCATAATTGATGAGCCAGGATGGGGGGGAGCTGAGTGTGAAGCTGAGCACGGAGCCGAGGCTGTGCTGGGCGTTGGGGTGCTGTGGTGGGACACTCATCCCTATCCCTGTCCTTGTCCCCTAACAAGGAGCCGGCTGGGTCCTACATCAGCCAGGAGGACAGATGCTGTGGGAGGCAATTAGTGCTAATGAGGGACAGGCATGGCTGGGAGGAGGGCAGGTGATGGAGCCCGTGTGAGCCTGGCTGTGCTTTGCAGGTACGATCCCTACAGCAAAGTGTTCTCGCAGGAGCACTACAGCCACGAGCGCATGCACCGCGCCCGGCAGGACGCCATCCTCACTGCCAGCTCTGCCCGCTCATGGGGGCTCATCCTGGGCACGCTGGGACGTCAGGGCTCCCCCAGCATCCTGCAGGTACCAGCCCCCTCCCCAGTGTCCCCACTGGGCACCAGGAGCTGCTGTTGGGTGTGGGGAAGGGCTGGACCATCGCTGCCAGGGTGGATGTGGCACCGCTGGCAACTCATCCGTGGCCACTGGCCCCGGCCTTCGTGGGCAATTAGCAGCAGATGAGGGAGGCTGGACAAGGGCTCATTAAAGCCGTTCCTGGGGAGAGCTGGCCAGTCTTGGAGAACCCCCCCACCTCCCCCAGACAGCTCGGCAATTAATTGGCTGGGTTTGTTTTAATTGGATGAACTTCCGATCAGGTTCAGCCTCCCTGCTCAGCTGCCGGGCTGGCGCTTTCTGCACCCCGCCTGGGAGAGGGGAGCAGGACAGCAGAGTTCTGCCCTCTGAGCATGGTGGCCCTGCTCACACCCAGGGCTAGCCACAGGTGAGATTTGAGGCAGGGCAGGAAGGTCCCAGCAGCTGCTCTTCCACAGCGGGCATGGCCAGGGCTGGCTGGGCAGGGAGTGGTTAGTGCCACCTCGGGAGGACAAGGACATCTCTGGCCCCTCTCCTCCTCCTCCTGCAAGCCCTGGCTGCAGCCAGCCCGTGACAGGCGGGTGTCCCAGGGCAGGCAGCCGCTAACGAGAACAGATTGTTGTCATTGAGCAGTAATTACTTCATTAGGCTGAGGCACGTGCTGGGGAGAGCTGGGCACAAGCCGGAGCCATGGCCACAGTCTGGCCTATGACTGCCAAAGGGACACGTGGGGCAGAGCTGGGACCCACAGAGGGTCTGATGGCCAGGAAGGGGCTGTGGGCAGGGCTTGGGGGGGGTTGCAGAGGGACCCTAACCCTGCCAGGTGCCTTTTTCCCCTGCAGCACCTGGAGTCACGTCTCCGTGCCTTGGGCCGGCCCTACGTGAGGGTGCTGCTGTCTGAGATCTTCCCCATCAAGTTAAAGCTCTTCCCAGAGGTGGATGTGTGAGTGCTGCTGATCCCCTCGAGCCCCAGGGTGCCCCATCCCTCTGCAATTCCTGCTTGATGCTGTCCCTGACACTTCTGTCCTGCAAGGGAAGGGACATGGCTGTCCTTAAAAGGGTGGTGCTGGCACAGTGAGGACCTTCTGGGGCTCTGCTGAGGGGCTTCACTGTGCCTTGTTCTTCCCAAAATGCTCATCCCCACTGTGATATTTCCTTCCAGGTGGGTGCAGGTAGCCTGTCCCCGGCTCTCCATCGACTGGGGAGAAGCATTCAGCAAGCCACTGCTGACACCCTATGAGGTGAGCACCCCTCTCTGCTTTGTGGGTGTCCCCACAAAGTCCTGGCTTGGGGTGATGCACCAGAGCAGCCTTGGGGATGTCCCTGCACCCAGACAGTGCCCCCTCCTCTCTGCACCTGTGCTCTGTGCACAGTCCAGGCACGCTGCTGGGATATCCAATATTTTGTGAAGCCAGTGGGATTCCCAGTGCCCTAGCAGTGCCCTCCTCAGCACACCAAGCTGGATGCTGGGACCTCTCCCAGCACACCAGCTCCCTCTGTGCAGGCACCACTCGGGGACTCATCCCTGGTCCTCTCCACAGGCTGCGGTGGCTCTCCAGGACATCGAGTGGCAGCAGCCTTACCCCATGGACTTCTATGCCAGCCAGTCCCTGGGGCCGTGGACGGTGAACCACGGTGGCACCCAGCCCCCGCGCCGCGCCCGGCCGGCACAGGTGGGCAGCGGGGGGACACCGGGGTCCCGCTCGGTCCCTCGGGCCGGTGAGAGCACCGGGACGGGCTGAGCGCCCGGTGCCGCTCGGTGTCACGTACCGAAAGCGCCACCCCGTGGTGTCGTTGCCACCGAGCAGTAACGGGGACAGTGCCAGCCCGGCCCGGGGGAGGGACACGCGGGTCCCCGCAGCCGTGTCGGGGTGAGCGCCTGCCGAGCCCCGCGGATCCCCGGGAATGGGGGGGTTTCCCCCGGGGGTGCTGCGGGCTGGACACGGACCGGCCCATGGCAGCTCCGGCCGGGGCTGGGGCATCCCTGACCCTCCCTGTCCCTGCAGGGGAAGCCACCGGCGCCCCCCGCCCCGCCCGAGGGTGGGGAGCAGCCAAGCACCGGGGACCTCGCAGCCTCGTGAGTGTCGCCCGCAGCTGCCGCGCTCCGGTACCTGGCGTGCGCAGCGGCGGGGGCACCGCTGATGTGAGCACCACCGGGACCCCCTACTGCAACGGATGGGGTCGCACCCCGTAACTCGACCACACTGCTGCCCGTAAGGACCGACCCCGGCTGTCCACTGGGAGTTGCCCCTTGCCGGACCGGGCTGGGTCGCACCGGGGGTCGCGTCCCGCCCGCCCCTCCGGGGCTGCCCCGTCCTCGCACCCTCCCCCACGGCGACCTCCCGCCGCCAGGGGGCGCCGTCACCTCCGCGAAGCCGCTCCGCTCGCTCTCGTCTGTCCAGCCAATCAGCGCGCGGCGTTTCGGCGGGAAGGCGGAAGTGGCGCTGCCGAGGCGCGGCCATGGCGGAGGCGCGGCCGCTGCGGCTGCTGGCGCTGCACGGGTACCGGCAGAGCGCCCGCCGCCTCCGCCAGCGCACCGGCGCGCTCCGCAAGGCCCTGCGCGGCCGCGCCGAGCTGGTGCCCATCGACGCGCCGCACCGCCTGCCCGCCAGCGCTGAGGACGACCCCGACGGGGATGATCCCCCCCGCGGCTGGTGGTTCTCCGGGCCCGGCACGTTCGAGGCGGGCGAAGCGGCCGCGGCTCCGGCGGGGCTGGAGGAGTCGCTGTCGGCCGTGGCGGCGGCGCTGGCGGAGCACGGGCCCTTCGACGGTCTGCTGGGCTTCAGCCAGGGCGCGGCGCTGGCCGCCATGGTGTGCGCGCTGCGGGCCCGCGGCGACCCGCGCTTCCCGGTGGCCTTCGCCGTGCTGGTGGCCGCGTTCGCCAGCCGCGCCCCGGCACACGGACACTTCTACCGGGAGCCCATCGCCCTGCCCTCGCTGCACGTCGTGGGCGACACGGACGCCGTGATCGCAGCGGCGCTGAGCAGGGAGCTGGCGCAGTGCTTCGTGGAGCCCGTGGTGCTCTCGCACCCCGGCGGGCACTTCATCCCCGCGGCTGCGGCGCAAAAGAAAGCCTACCTGGAATTCCTGGAACGCTTCTGCCCCGGGCAGGGCCAGGCCGAGCGCCCAGAGGCTGGGGAGGCTCGAGAAGGGGCTCTGTAATAAAGAAGGGCTCTGGTGAGCCATGTGCAGCCACCCATCCTGTGAAACATCACTGTTTCCGTGCCTCCAGAGGGACCAGAGAACAGCTCACTGCACATTCTGCTCTTCAGTGTTCACCCAGGCCAGGCTAAATGGTTCTTTTATCTCCCTTTTTTTCAGCTTTGTTGTATACATCAGTATAAAATACATACGTATATATATGTGTGTATATATATATATGTATATAAAGTTATATATAATGTATATAAGATGAGTGTGGGGGTGTGACAGTGAGGGGATTGAAGGCAGGAGGGTGACACTGCTCTGTGGGCAAGGTGCTTTCAGAGACTCCAACACCTGCTCAAAAGGAGAGTTCCTCAGCTCAGCCACAGGAAGTATCTGCAGAGCACAGAGCTCTTGCAGTTTTATACCCCAAAACCTCGTGGTTTTTAATATCTGTTAAACCAAGCTTCCAGCTGGTCTGGGCCTGGAAAACCCTCTCTCTCATCCTTGGCAGTGCCAGGGCTGGTGTTTGTTTCAGGGATGAAATGCCTGCTGGCTCGGTGTGCACGTGTTGAATATTCCCTGCACAAAGTGCCTCCATGAACAAGAAAAGCGTGTTGCTGTTTGTGGCTCTGTATTATCCAGAAGCACAAGAAAATCTTTATTGCTGTAACAATTGCAGGTGTCCTGCTCAGCTCCTGCCCAGCTCAACACTGGGCACCAGTCTCAGGAGAGGAGAGCTAGCAGAGCTTCTCTACCCACAGCTTTCCTTGCGGGTGTAGAGCTGGTAAAAGAGGGAAATGGGGTGAAAAAAGCGAATTTTCCCCCTGCTTGAGCAGCAGGGCAGGGCAGTGCCAGCTCTTTGAGGCTGCAGGACACTGAGCTGCTGAAACCTTTCCTGTGCTCACTGAGCTGGGAACGGGCCTGGCAGTGCTGAGGGTTAAAACAGCAGAGCAGGAGTGAGCAGCTCAGCCCCAAAGCAGCACTGCAGGGTGAGCAGCTCAGCCCCAAAGCAGCACTGCAGGGTGAGCAGCACTGCAGGGTGAGCAGCTCAGCCCCAAAGCAGCACTGCAGGAGTGAGCAGGTCTCAAACCCAAAGCAGCATGGCGGGAGTGAGCAGCTCAGCCCCAAAGCAGCACAGGAGGGGTGAGCAGCTCAGCCCCATCGCGTTTTGCCCCACTTTGCACACCGTGCTGGTGCTGGCAGGAGGATGTGGCTGTCTCCCCGCAGCCCAGCCCCGCTCTGCTGTTGCCCCGCGGGGCTGGGGGGGCTCGGGCAGTGCTGGCCGCCTGTGCCACTTCACGTGGGCTGTGTCACATCTGCCGCGAAGGCGTGGGGTGTCTGCACCCCTTGGTGACACCACGGGCTGCGTTTTGGGGCTGCCGAGCACAGCGACCAGCTGTGACAACGCACCGGAGCTTTTGTCCCCCCGCCGCCGCCGCGCTCGCAGCCCCGGGAGCTGCTCGGTTGTCGCCGAGCCCCCTCCCGGTGCTTTCCCGCAGCCATGGCCGCCCGCCCGCACTGCGGCCCCGCAGCCCCGGCAGCTCCCGGGAAGAGAAGGAAGGAAGGGGAAGCAGCTCAGGGTGCGGTGAGTGAGCAGCACGGTCCCAGCTCTGCAGGCAGCTCCCTCGGTGGGTCGGGAGGGATGGGTGACCCGAACTGCGGTTCCTGCCTCTTCCCCGGGGTCTGCATAAAGATGGCTCCTGCCGGGCGTCTGCTGTAGCGGTTTAAATAAATTATTAAAACAGATTAACGCGACTTTTGTCCGCAGGAGGTGCCTGCGTGAGCAGCGCAGGGAGGTCCTGCTCGGTCCCGGTGTGGTGGGAGGAGGGAAGCGGCTCGGAGGGGTTTGCGTGGGAATCCTGCCCTCTCCCTCCTTTCCTGGCCTGATGCCCTCGGGCTGGCCCCTGCCTCTCTCGCAGATCCAGGTCTGCTCTTGGGATGCAGCCACAGAACTTGGCTGCTCTCAGAGGTGAGCCTGGAGACAAGACTGGCTGATACCCTCCCACCCCTCACTCAGCTCCATGCTGGGGAGTTCCCTTTTCCATCACCCGGCCTGGCCCAGGGGAGTTGGTTTTCCCCCAAAAACAGCGTGGCCCAGTTGCTGTTGCTGAACAGGGGGTGATGGAGTGAGCCCGGGGTCTGGGTGGCAGCTGTGCCACTTGTCTGGGACAAGAGGGCCCTGGGGACAGTCACCAGTGTTGGCAGCAGCACTGGGAGCCTGGGTGTTTTGGCAGGGGGATGTCACCTCTGTCCCCAGATGTGCCTTTCCATAGCCCAGTGCATCCATTGGAGCCACCTGTGTGACTTCAGGGACAGGAGGGACCCTGGCTGTGGCCCTGCTTGTGAGGAGGGCATGGAGTCCAGGCAGAGCTTTGCTGCCCCTTCCCTGGGTGAGCAGAGCCCCCAGCCCTGTCCCAGTGTCCCGGGGAGGGCAGGAGGAGCCTGGCATGAGCAGAGATGCCACCAGGGCTGCCGGTGCTGCTGCTTCCCTGCAAACTCCTGGCTGTTTTCCCACCTCTCCTCAGCTCCTTGCACCCCTTCCCCCATGCCACTGTCACCTCGAGGTCACTGCCACTGCCCACCCTGCCAGCCACCCACGTGGGGCATCAGGCATGGGCAGGAGTTCCTGTGGGCAGCACTGGAAAAAGCGACGTCCCGCCGTGCCTGGCTCAGGTGCAGCCCGTGCCAGGGTTTGAGCCTTACTCATCTCACCGTCTTCCTCCTCTGTCCCCGCCGGCAGAACTGCCAGAGGCGTGGGGATGGGGCACTCTGGGAGGGTGATGTGTTTCCCAGATGGTTTTACTGCGAGGCTTTTCCAAACCTGCCAAGGTCCTGCCTGTGAAGTGGCGGTGGCAGGGGCAGGGCACAGCCGGGACCGTGCCTGGGCCCCGCTGCTGGAGCAGGACCAAGCCGTAGGGAACAGCCCCCCCTTCCCTGCTTCACTCGCAGAAGCTTCCAGTTGTGGCTGAGTCACTCCTGCTGTAGCTCCTTCTCTCTCCTTGTTTTGGATGGAAGTTTTCCATGGAAACCCACGCTGGGCCGGGCTGCAGGCTGGGATAAACACGGCTGAATCACAAAAGGCCGTTTCGCCAAGAGCTGTCAGATGGCAGCAACAGCGTGTGGGGCCAGTGGGCACCTGCCTGGCCTTTGGGGGGGCAACAGCAGCACCTCTTCCTGCAGCCCCCACCAGCTCTGCTGGCTCAGCGCCCCCAGGCCCACCCTGAATTCCTACGGTGCCAGGATGCCACTTGGCACAGCCGGGAGCGGGTGACAGGTTTTGTCTAGAAGTTTTCTGGGGCCACGTGCTTTCCCAGGGATGCACAGGGAAATCCCATCCAGGAGAGTCCTTTGCTGAGGCAGTGTCCACCCCTGTCCTCAGCTGCCAGGCTTTGCAGGGTCACGGCTTGGAGGTGCCAGGAAGACCCTTCCCACCCTCCTGAAGCCGCCGGGTGCGCCGCCGAGGTCAGGCACGGTTTGTGCCATGCCTGTGCCCTGCTGAGCACCAATCCAGCGTGGAGGAGGCCGTGGCAGGGGCTGAGATCCTCCTAGGCACCACGTTCCTTCCCGGAGGTCTCTGTGCTGAGGAGGAGCACGGGAGCTGGACAGCCTCTGTCCCCTGGCGCCGGCGGCTGGCCCCGGGCCCAGCAGCTTGGAAGACAAGTCCTGGTGTCAGGAATCCAGGATATTTTTAAGGACTCTGGAAGAAAAACTGATTCCAGGGTGTCAGCGGGAGAAACTTGGCCTTCAAAACAGCAGAGCAGCTGGAACTTTCCCGGGCTGGAGCGTGGGGTACAAGGGGCCACAGCGCTGCCCACAGGACATGTCCCCTCACCCAGGGGTACTCTGGAAGGGACACTGGTGTTGCCGTGGCCTGGACGTCATTGTGATGCTTTTAATGGGGTGTAAACAAGGAGGTGTTTCCCAGGGGATGGAGGGTGGGTTTTGTGGCAGTGGCAACCTTGCAGCATGGATGTGCTGGACATAGCTGTGGTTTTACCTGAGCGCTGCTGGGACTGCCCCAAAATCCCCGTCCTGGGGGTGTGAAGTGCTTGGCCTGTCATCAACAGCGGTGATGGGAAAAGCAGGAGTCACAGGGAACAAGCAAGATGCATGGCAGGGCACAGCAAGGACCTGCTATCTCTGGTCCTCCCATGTCCCACTGTGACCCTGCTGTCCCCTGGGGACCTGGTGGTGGCCATGCCTGTCTGGGTGAGGGCAGAGCTGCCAGGTGCATGACCCCATGGATTGGTGAGGGATCCTAATGGGGCTGCTTTGGAGAGTGTGGGCAGAGGACCCTGCATGACCCCTACTCAGTCTAGATGGGACACCCACGGGAGCTGCAGGATCCCAGGACTGAAAGTTTTTCTTCAGGGACTCTTCCTGTCCCTCTTGCCGCCCTCACCCACTTGGGCCTGACCCTACAGGGTGTCCCCATGGCAGTGACCTCCCTCTCCTCCGGGTCTGTGTGGTCCTACAGCCCTTCCAGCCCCTTCTCTCCATCTCCAGGGCCGTGAGTCCCCGGTGCCCCCCACGAGGAGCCCTGCCCGGCCAGCACCGGTCGCCGCCGGCTGCTGAAGGCCCGGTGCCCGGTGCCGGGGCAGGCCGGGCCGCTCTGACTTCGCCGCTCAGGAATCTCCTGGCCGCGCCGGGCGGGTTGTGCAACCTGCGACCGCCCCCGGCCGCCCCCGCCCCGGCCCCGCCGGCCGCGCTCAGTCCCCGCCGCCAGCCCCGCTCCGCGAACGGCCCGCGGTCCCTCCCGGGACACGGCACCCCGGCTGCCGAGCGGATGGATGCGGCGGGGCCGGTCCCCGAGGGACTCCGTGTCCCCGCCGGGAGGGCAGGTGAGGGGCTGCTGAGGATGGGGGTTCCGAGGAGGGGGTCCCCATCGATCCCGCTGCCCGAGGAGGAGCCGCTCGGCGCCCGCCCCCCCGAACAGTAAGAGTTGATGTGCGGTGAGCTGCATCCTGCATGTGAGCTCCTACTGCCCCGGGAGGCGGGCCGCCCCCGACGGGACCCCCGCGCTCTGCCTCCGCCTCCGCCGCCTCGGGGACCCCCGGGGGTGGGCGAGGGAGGGAGGGGAGCCGGTGCTGCCCGCGCTGCGAGTCCGCCTGTCCCGGCGACCATGGCTGTAGACTGTTACCCCCCCAGCGGCACAGTAACAATCTAAAGCCACGGTCGCCCGGGCGGCGTCGGAGTTGGGGGGGGGCCGGGAGGG